TTTTCTGCATTCTCCCCAGCTGGGATGACTTCTTCCACTCTGAAAAACAGCTCCACACTCACTACTGTTGTTTACTTTCTTCCTGGGATCAGCGTCCTGTTGCTGAAGTCCCATGTTGGCCAAGAAGTCCTTCCCAATTTCCCTACAGGTAAAGAGATTCCTTGATGCATGGGCTGTGCAGGTCTTCAAAAATGCGGGTCTCCACAGATCACATCTGAAGGGTTTGTCTCTAACGAGCTGCCTCTGGTGCTGCTGAAGGTTTGCAGTGAAATAGAATTGTTTCCCACATGCTCCACATGTGTATGATTTCTGCCCCCTATTTCTTCCTTCATGTTCAGCCAAGTGGAGGATGTCTCTCAAGACTGGAACACACATCCTACAGGGCTGGGACTTCTCAGGAGATACAGCTGCCTTGGGGGTCCTGGTCTGTGACATTCCTACAAATATGCTCTGTTCAGAAGGTGTCTCCTCACCCTCGACTCCATGCAAAGAATCTGGAAACAAACAAGTGATGGTAAAGTACATGGTGACTTTTTTTGGAGAGCACAGAGGGAGTGACACACTCCCACAATTGTACCTCTGACACATGAAACTACCAGTCCACGGGACTGTGTTCTGCAAATGGAGCTGGCGTCAGACTGAGGAAGCAGCTGCTCTGTGTTACTGGGCCTTCAACTTACAAAATGTAGGCTGAAGTGTATGTCCAGGCCCAAGAAAATCTGCCTGGAAAAGGCAGTTGATGTTCAAGAAATATTAAAGGATACCTGTGTGCTTCAGGACATAAACAGTGTCATAAATTAGTATGGGGGAAACAGTGTGAAGACCACATGAGATTAAGTGGTCTAGAGAGGTGGTAGGGAATTAATCCCAGGCTGGAGTCAGAATAAAAACAAGTCAGCAGAGTGTCAAGAATTAAAGGATGATAGAGGTCATTTGTGGCCAGTGACAATGGCACTAAAAAAATAATCAGGTAAGATTGGTTCCTGAAATGGCTTGAACACAGACCAGATACCAAGCCCTCTCCCAGCCGTAATTCATCATTCATCCAGGCCTCCTCTGAGCTGTTTTTGCTAAGACCAGAGCCATGTCCATCAGGAAACCACTAAGGACTGAGTTCCCAGAGGAACTCAGTTCACAACAGACAAACAAATGATATTGAAATACTACAAAGAGAATGTCCAGTAGAGCCAGAGGCAAGGATGTACAGAGCATGGAGTACAAAGTGCTAGGAAGCCATCTCCCCATCTAAACAATTGTACTGGCAGAACCTAACTGATGTAACTATTTTGCAAAGCTGCAGTCTACTGAAGACTTGCAGCTTTCCAAGTCACATTCATCTCAATCAAGTTCAGCTCTTGACATTTAACAGCTACCCATTCCCAACCCCTCAGTCCCAAGGCAGGCAGCCGCGCACATGTCCCTAGAGCGGTTTGCTTGTAGCCTGCAGGAGCCACAGTGAGCAATAATGACATGCTCCTCCAAATGTCAGAGGTCAGCACTCAGGTTGCTGACTGTTACTTCTGAATGCAGATGTGCAAAGGGCGGCTGGGGGGACAGCCACTGTTGGAAATTGTACCACCGCTATACAGATACCCTCCTCCTCTGGGGGAAGCCAATCCAGGAATTTAGAGGGCCAGTACCTGTTCTCTTGTTCTTCGTTTTTCTGGTTTTCCCTTTGGATACTGAGATGTTTGAGGACAAAGACAATAAAAAACCAGCAGTTATATGGGGGAATTTTAAAAATCAAAGCACATCTGGAAGGAAAGGCACACTGAGAAGAACTTAAGTTTACACATCATGTTGGTATCTAGGAAAAAGACACCTTAAAAACAACAGAAAGAACCCACCACCCCAGCAAATCCTGGTAAGAGGTGAGAACAGGATCTCCACAGTTACAATACTGTAAGATACGAATACTCAGTTTTCAGTAAGAAAAAGTCGTAAGGCATACATGAAAGAGGAATGTAGAATGCATGCAAGGGAAAATAACAAACCTACAGCAGCCATAGCTTATGAACAGGTGCAGAAAGAACCCACGATTAAAGACATTAAAACAACTATCTAAAAGATGTTCAAACAGCTAAAAAACCAAATGGACCAAAAAAACTTGTGACCTCAACAAAATGGAAATAACAACAAAGATAAGTATTTTCAAAAATGAAACTAAGGAGCTGAAAAGTACAATTCCCGAATGAAAAAAACCACAGGAATTTAACAAAGGAAAGCATTCCAGATTTTATGAAAGACATGAATATAAACACCCAAGAACCTCAACAAACTCCAAGCAGGATAAACTCTGAGACCCACACTGCAGCCCATTATAGTCAAAACCGTTAAAACACAGAGAAAAAGAGAATCTGAAATCAGCAAGAGAGATGTGACTCATCACAGAAAAGGGAACCAGAACAACATTCTCAGCAGACTCCTCATCAAAAATCTTGGGAGGCTGGAAAGCAGTGGCTGATAAATTCAAATCAATGAAGGGAAAAAATCCTGCCAAACAAGACTCCTATATCAGGAAGAATTATCCTTCAAAAATGAAGGAGAAATTAAGACATTCCCAAGTAAACAAAAGCTGAGGAAGTTCTTAACCACTAGACCTGCATGTAGCAAATGCTAAAGGGAGTGCTTCAGGTTAAAATGAACAGACACTAAAGAGTAATTCAAAGTTATTTGAGTAAATAATGATTTCTGGTGAAGTAAATAAGTCCATGGAAAATTGTAAAAGCTACTTTTATTATAAGGTTGTAACTGCAATTTTTGTTTTTCTACGATTTCAGAGACTAATACATTTAGAAAAATATTAGTCTCAGTTTAAACACACAAAATACAAAGATGTACTTTGTGAAATGAATAACTGAATATGGTGGGCACAGAGCTGTACTGAAGCAGAATTTTTTTTAATATTATTGATGGTAAGCGGGTATAAATTAAAATTAGTACGTTCTGGCTTTCTCATAGTTACTGTAATGCCCATGGTAACTACAAGGAAAGTTCTATAACATACACAAAGGAAATGAAAAGGGAATTAGTATATTACACTACGAAACATCAGTTAAATACAAAAAAAGGTAAACAACAAAAATAAGAGACAACAAAGCTCTATGGCATATAGAAAACAGAGCAAAATGTCTAAAATACTTATCAACAACTGCTCTAAATGTATGTGTATTAAACTCTCAAAGCAAAAGATTGGAAGAATAGATTTTTAAAAATAATCCAACTATATTCTCATGACAAAAGACAAGTTGAAAACGTAAGGTTAGAAAAAGATTTTCCATGCAAATAGCAAGCAAAAGAACACAGAAGTGGCTATTATTAATACCAAACAATAAAGATTTTAAGTCTAAAGAGAACACATAGGATATTATATTTTAACAAGAGAGTCAATAAATATAAGATGCAATAATTAAAAATATTTACACACCCAGTAATGGACCAGCAAAATATATGGTGCAAAAACTGACAACTGAAAGGAGAAACAGTTCTTCAGTAATATTTGGAGACTTCAATACTCCGATCTCAGTAATGAATAGGAAAAATAGGTTCAATTACATAAAAATCATGCAAACTATCCTCTGCAACCACAACAGAAGACAGAAACCAGTAACATATGGAAAACCAAAATATTCACAAACTTGTGGAACTAAAACCACATGCTCTTAATCAACAGTCAAAAGAAAAACCACAAGGGAAATCAGAAAACAAAAAATAAAACATACTAAAACTTAAAGGGTGCAGCCCCTTCTCCCTGGCGGTTAGTGCTGACAGTGTGGAGTGTGTGCTCTGGGATGGGAACACCCATTTATTGTTTAAAAACCCTAAAAAACAAAAAATAATCTAAAAACAACTTTTAAAAAACAAAAAAAATTTACAAAAACTCCACGTCTCCCCCGGCAGAGACTTGCATACCTTTTCTTCCTCTAGTATCAAGCAACCTGGTGATGCAGCCCACCCGCGCGCAGCCCCGCTGCAGCTCCAAGAAGGAACCAGGAGACCCGAGGCCCCCTTAGCCCCCTCGCTGAGGCCGCTGAGCAGTTTTCGATTCCGGGCGCTCTCTGTTTCTGCGCGCTCGCCCCTGCTCTTTGCTTCCCGGCCCAGCACTTGCTTTCCTCCTCCCCTGGGCAGGTCGCGGCCGGTGGCCCTCTGGCAGCCAAGCGGAGATGAACCCCAGCGTCCACAGCCACCCCACGGCCTCGCTCCACCTGGGGGACCTACACCCCAACGTGACACAGGCGATGCCCCCACAGGAAGTGCAGGCCGGCCGGGCCCACCCTTTCAATCCGAGTCTGCAGGGCATGATCACCCGCCGCTCCTCGGGACACGCTGAGCGCCCTCTGGACACCATGAGTTTTGGTTATAAAAGGCAAAGCCAGTACACGCCACGTGGTCTCAGCGTGATCCATCACTTCGCAAAAGTGCAGTGAGTAACACATTCATTAAACATTTGGACAAATCTACTGATAACAAAGCCCTGTGTGATATATTTTCTGCTTTTGGTAACATCCTTTCATGTAAGATGGTTTGTGATGAAAATGGTTCCAAGTGTTATGGACTTGTGCATTTTGAGACACAAGAAGCAGCAGCAAGAGCTACTGAAAAATGAATGGGATGCTTCTAAATGATCCTGAAGTACCTGTTGGACGATTTAAGTCTTGTAAAGAACGAGAAGCAGAACTCGGAGCTTAGAGCCAAAGAGTTCACCAATGTTTACATCATGAATTTTGGAGTGCCTTAAGGATCTCTTTGGGAAGTTTGGGCGTCCTTAAGCGTGAAAATAACGACTGATGAAAATCCAAAGGTTTTAGATTTTGTAAGCTCTGAAAGGCATGAAGATGCACAGAAAGCTATGGATGAGATGAATGGAAAGGAGCTCAATGGAAAACAAATTTACACTGGTCGAGCGCTAAAGTCTAACAGCCGACAGAACTTGAGCACAAATTTGAACAGATAAAGCAAGGTAGGATCACCAGACAGCAGGGGGTGTTAACCTTTGTGTGAGAAGCACCGACGACGGGACTCACGATGAACGTCTCCGGAGGGTTTCCTCTCTGTGGTACAATCACCAGTGCAAGGTTATGATGAAGGGTGGTTGCAGCAAAGGTCTTTTTAGTTTTGTATGTTTCTCCTCCCCAGAAGCAGCCACTAAAGCAGTGACAGAAAAGAATGGTAGAACTGTGGCCACCAAGCCATTTTATGTAGCCTTAGCTCTGCGCAAAGAAGAGCGCCAGACTCACCTCACTAACCAGTATATGCAGAGAATGGTGAGTTTAAGAGCTGTGCCTGACCCCAGAATCAACCCCTACCAGCCAGCACCCCCTTCAGGTTACTTCATGGCAGCTATCCCAAACTCAGAACCTGCTGCGTACTATCCCCCCCAGCCATACTGCTCAACTAAGACCACGTCCTCGCTGGACCGCGCAGGGTGCCAGACTTCATCCATTCCAAAACATGCCCGGTGCTATCCGCCCAGCTGCTCCTAGACCAGCATTTA